CGAGGTGATATATTAGTTACTAATCTTGCTAATTAGTGGAATAATGGACTATGTTGTAGGATTCGGCCACCAATAAGACACACAGTAGCTAAACGAGCTAAACGAGAACGGAAGAGCGAATACGGAGGTAAAACGTGCCTCTGCCGTCCTGCTTCGGAGCGCCTCAGCACCACACTGCTTCATTTCCGCCCTGTCACCAGTGTCCGCAGTGCTGATCTACAGCCATGTTTATCTAAGCAGGCCTGTGTTATTGTGGCCTTGTAATTCTTCATGTGGGATTCTGAGCTCATGCTCTTTCGTCATGAAGTGCTGAATGCTGGAGAACCATAACTCTTTTCCACAGAGCACACTCTGCCAACATCCAGAACTCAGCACTGATCTAGAGGGCTCAGTTTAGCGTCGCCACTGTCGTTTACATTAGGAATTCGGTGATCCAGTATTGTGACGATTACTCAAGTTTTTAAAAAAAAAGACTTACAAAAACGGACTTAAATGAACTAAACAAACCATCTGTGGCCTCAAAAAGACAAAACACTTTACTGTACAACATAAAGATGAGATTTTAAAATGAGACTTCATTATTTCACATATTTCTAGACAATTTTACTTGTTTTAAGTAATTTTATCTTATGAAAGTGTTTAATTCCATTAGCAGAGCATTTTACTTTTAAAGTATTACTTCCTGAAATAAGCAAAATTATCCTCGTTATTTCTCAAAATAAGTAAAATGAGTATTACAGTATTCTTACAGCAACCTCATTATTAGAGATATTAGACAAATTAACTACATTCAACATGCTCTCATGTGCTACACACTTAAAAAAATGGTTCTTCAAGGGTTCTCTAGTAAAGAAAATGATTCCATATAGAACCACGAACACTCCAAGAACCCTTTCCCTGATTAAACGGTTCTTCGCATCGTGAAAGAGTTCATCACATTGACGGAGAATGTGCTGTGGATGGTTCTGCATAGAACCTTTTTGACAAGCGTTCTATATAGCACCAAAATGGTTCTTCTATTACAAGAAGCTTGGTATTGTAACAATGGAAGAACCCTTTTTGGTGCTGTATAGAACCATATACAACAATCTTAGGAGTGCCTTTGTGATGCAAAGAGCCCTTTGAAGGGTGCAAAGGGTGCTTTGAGTGTTCATGGTTCTATATAGAACCATTTTCTTTACTAAAGAACCCTTGAAGAACCATCTTTTTTCCTCCATGTTCTTCCCAGTGGAACCTGCTGGTTTCTGTAGCACGGCCTTAAACAAGACACCTCTGCTACCTTAAAATCAAGAGCCATTCAGACAATAGTATCATGGTTCTCAGTTCTAAGTGGCAATGAGAAAGAACGTAAAGAACGTGAGTGTGTTTTTAATTAAGGCTCGATTTGTGATGGATGCCAAAGCCTGATGTCGCCTTATCGCAGTCTCGGTCGTCCTGGACGCAAACAAATACGCTGAGAATCCTCAGTATTGAGCTCAGCAGTGGTGGACAAAGTACAGAACCATGTACTTGAGTTAAAGTAGAGACACCCAAGGTAAAATATTACTGCAGTAAAAGAAGAAGTTCCTCCCTTTAGACCTCCACTTGAGTAAAAGTACAAAAGTATTTGCCTTCAAATGTACTTAAGTATCAAAGGTAAAAGATTCATTAACTTAGTTACAAGTTTAAGTTTAATAAAAACTTTAAACTCAGATTCACAAATGAGTTTCCTTTACTAAACTGCATCTGTAGGTCTCTGTTCATAAACATAAACTAGCCAAAACTAATTTACTATAAAATGAAATGTGTTTGTATAAATTCAGAATAAAGACACGTCAGTCTCAACTGCATATGAGTACATATTTCTATATTGTGGTCTGTTTACACAAAGTTAGGTTAGTTCATCATTTATGTTGAATAGACTCTCCCAAAATTTTACGCTGCTGCACTGATGTTGAACCGTGTGCTGCACTGGGTCGGTATGACCAACAGGTCAAAACAAGCTCAAAACTAAGTGACCGCTGTGCCCTGATTGGTGTTCTTGCTTTGCGCTTCTTTCGTTTTGACATGTTAACGTTTTTATACACACATAAACCAAAAGGAACGACAGATTTCTCATAATGTAGTGGAGTAAAAAGTGAGATATCTGACTTTGAAATGTAGTGGAGTGAAAGTAAAAAGTCACCCAAAATGGAAAAACTTCAGTAAAGTACAGATACAGGAAAAACTACTTAAGTACAGAAACGAATTACATTTACTTCGTTACTGTCCACCACTGGAGCTCAGGAGGGTGACATTGTATTGAACCTATGGTAATACATTGTAATTTGAGTGAACACAGGAGATGGAGCTCTCAGAGGAGTTACTCTGAGAACCCGTGCGTGACTTTTTAATGGGAGTATCTTTGTTTTTGAAGCCTGAGCCGGCGATGCAGGTCTGACACATCAGAGAGCTCATAACCTTTGATGGTGACGAGGAGCTGCAGCAGAAATGAGAAGATAAGTCCAGAATAAGAAGTAGACCAAGTGTGACCTTTAGAGCTCCGTCCCAAAGGAGGCGTTCAGTCTTCACAGCACTTTTGATAAAGCCGCGCATGTAGTTATTAATAACAACAACGATTAGTTCAGAAAAGTGTAGGATGGTGCAAAAATTGCAAATGTACACAAGTGGGTGGAGCTGGATGATCCTTCAGGCTTGTTGGAGTAATCAGGCATCTTCGTCTTCATTGTAATAAGTCGTCGTTTGATCCAACTAAATTCACCAAAAATAAGCTTTTTACTTTGTTTTTACTACATAATCGTTCATCACTTTAACCTAAACAAATGTTTTCATGTGGTAACAAGTAAATTTACTACTTTTATTCAAACTAAATAAATGATTTGAACAAACGATTCTTTCACTCAAAGTGATTTTCTGAGTTGAAACTATTTTGATTGCTTGTTACCACAAGCTTGAACAGATGAACCACCACAAATGGAACCTTGGCAAGAAAAAATTTCGTCGATCTAGTCGATATTCAATATTTCTCATGTTGAGACTGTTGGAGGCTTATTATCAGATTTAATTTATTTCTAGACATTTTAATAATCAGATAATGTCCGCTAATATAGTCATGCAATTTTATTAGACAAAATGATTTAAAACTAGGAAAAAAGTTAAATAATTATATACTGCAAATGAATTATATCTTAGCAAGTGAAAGCATGTTAAAAATAGTAAATATATGTAATATTTCTCATTACGAGACCATTGTTTTACTTACATTAACATTGCTTTACTTTTTTCTAGACATTTTTACTTGTTTTAAGAAATGTCATCTAGTGAAAGTGTCTTATTCTATCGGCAGATCATTTCTTGTTTTGAGAAATACTGTAGACAATTTTAGCGGTTTAAGGAATGATGCTTAAAACAAGATAAAATAATCTGCCAATGGAATAAGACACTTTCATAAGATAAAATTACTTAAAACAAGTAAAAATGTCTAGAAAAAAAGTGAAATTATGTTAATGTAAGTAAAACAATTGTCTCGTAATGAGAAATATTACATACATTTACTATTTTAACATGCTTTCACTTGCTAAGATATAATTTATTTGCAGTATATAATTATTTAACTTTTTTCCTTGTTTTAAATAATTTTAGAATTTAGTGAAATAATCTTATAATATTCTCACAACAGTCTCATAATAAGAAATATTAGATATATTAACTACATTTAGGATGATTTTACTCGCTAAGAATTTTTTGCAGTGTGTAAAAATTGCAGTGCCATTAGAAGTGCTCTCATTAGTGCAGTAGGTGAAGTGTAGAAGTGTACAGTTTGGAGCACAGCCTTAAATCAGCCAGCGAGACGTGTTCAAGAGTCCAGCATCTCCAGTGTCTGATTATAGCTCTGCTCGTTAGCTGCCCATTAATTAAAAACGTCCAAGAGAAAATTTGGTGGTGTGTTGATATAAATCAGAACTGCTGAATGTATTTCCTGATTAGGAAACGAGGCTGAGGTTGGCCTCTGATTCACCAGCTTCTTTTACCAAATGTTGGTTCTGTGTATGAGACATATGAGTAATTGAAGCAGCATTTAAGGTGGAACAGAAAACTCGAGCTTCATACATGAGTGTGTGTTGGCGGTTCTGGTCACCGTTTGTATTAGTTTTACTCTGAACTTGATAGTTGTGCAGCTTATACTGATCCAGCCCACCTATCTAGCTGATCTTCTCCTCTGAACGTTTTCTGGAGACCACTGTTCAGATGGATCAATAGATTGGGAGATCATCTAGCAGGACGTTACATCACCAGCATAGACCTGTGTACCTTTTTTAACAGCCATCTCACGAGTTGTGCCTGAATTTCACTGCTTTAAACACTGCTTGATAATTTATGTTGAGCGCCCCCTTGTGGGTTTACGAGATGTATCACTGACTTACAAATCATACTGCAGTATATTCTACACTGTTTATACACTGTTTTGGAAAACAAAGGTTAAATACATGTGAATAAACCATATATATCCTGTATTTGAACACTGCTTTTGTTAATTTACAGGAATAGAATGTAAACTTATTGGATAAATGTAAGTGTAATGGTTGTTACTGTTATTTTTGTGATAAAATATGTCGGTAGCTGAACTAGCGAAACTGTTGAATTACAGTAAATGCCGTATTTCCAAAAAATTAAATGACTAATTTTACAGATTTTTATTGTCATTTAGAAAACATGCTTTTACTGTTTAATTATTGAGTGTTGTCATTTGTTTTACTAATTTTCTTTTCAAAAATAATGAAATGCATTTTGATTTTTTGGTTAATTTGTGTGTTAAATTCAATTATATTTGAATATTTGACAAACAAACAAAAGGGGAATTTCAATTTGATTTCTGATCCCATCTGACAGCCCTAATAGGACATGGCATGACCACAAAATATGAATTTATGTGTCTATTTCTGTCCATTTTTAGAGCTTCTGCTCTCATTCTGTTTGATCTTCTCCACCTGTTTCTAGTCCTTAACTCTCCACTGTTCCAGACCCTTTGAAATCATCATTTTGATGACTATTTTTGCTAACTGCGTGGCCTTAGCTGTCTACATCCCCTTCCCAGAGGACGACTCCAACGCCACCAACTCCAACCTGGTAAGAGAGACGGTGCTGCTTTTTCATTATCCTGCCGCCGCGCTATTAAACGAGTCTGCGCTGATGAACGTGGACTAGTTTTTATATCTGTGCTGATGATGATGGTCCATGAGTGGTGATGATGGTGCTTGCTTAGAATGGACACTGGAGGAGGTCCGTTTGGAAGCTGTGAAGACTGTTGTTCGTAGATGGTCTGATGGACTTTTGCTCATGCTTTGGTTTGGAAAACTCAATAACATCCTGCTTATCTGAGGATATAATTTCATAGGCTGACTAGAACCTCCTCTTTACTCCACACAAATCACTGGCTTGTAGTTCCACTTGTGTCTTCCTCCGTACAACTGGAGTTCATAGCATTCACAGCCTCCTCACCAGAGCCGACTCTACCTAATAAGCGACATAAGCAGCTGCTTATGGGTAACTACTGCAAGCTACTGTTATGTTGTCTAATAAGATGCTGGAAAGGGAAAATTAAGATTAACTGTGTATTATAAAAAGAGAAGATTAGGAGAAAAGGCTTAAAGATAAAAGTATGTTTTGATTTCATTTTGAGGTTTTAACGTTAGGTTTTTTTTTTAGCTTTTGGTCAGAAAATAAGTGGTCACTCTGGACGGAGAACGCTGAGACACCTTCAGAACCCCATTAGCATTCACTCATCGGCAACAAACAAAACTGCCATAATTTACACCGTTGTTATTAGTTAACCTCTAATTTTACAGTAAATCATCTATCAAACTGCAAAAAATAGTATCTTCACAAGAAAAATGATCTTAAATATAGTCAATAAATCTAATATGTTTCCTGTTGAGATTGTTGTAAGCTTAATTTAAGATTATTTACCTTATTTCTAGACTTTTTTTTACTTGTTTTAAGTAATTTAATTAAGTCAAATTCTCTCCTTATATTGACAGATAATTTTGCTGGTTTTAGGAAAATGTGCTTGAAACCAGCAAAATTATCTGCCATTATAAGGAGAGAATTTGACTTAATTAAATTACTTAAAATAATTAAATAATGTCTAGAAATAAAGTAAATACTCTTATAATAAGTGCACAACCATTTTAAAATGGGAAATATTGGATACATCGACTAGATTTAAGATCATTTCACTTGGCAAGATATTTTTTGCAGTGTATAGCTTTGATATTTCTTATATGTATGAAGCCCACTCCCAATAGCATATTTTTAAAAAAGAGAAAATTTTAGAAACATGCTCACATTATTAATCTCACAGAACTGCAACACTGCCAAAATAAAATAAACTGGCTGATTGCTGAGTGCTTCGAGCAAAAATCTGATTCTGATTTTGGTTGATTCCAATTATACATCCCTAACTTTTGGTCTTTGGGTTATTATTTTGCAAATTTTACATAATTTAATGAAAACTTTCATTCGGTCCATCTCAATTCGATGAGCCAAGAGGGTCATACAAGAAGAACCAAGCTCGAAACCCAACATCACCTCAGCCATATATCTAGAGCGCAGCTGGTCCTGATGCTGGGTGGGAACGATGGCTTACGCTACAAAAAACAGCATCTTCTCAAGTGAACTGATCTTAAATCTAGTCTATATATCTAATATTTACCATTTTGAGATGTTCGTGCACTTATTATGAGATTATATTATATATTTACAGTGTAAATATTTTAGCTTTTATTTATTTATAATTATTTATATTGTTAATTTTTGCGAAGGATAGAGTTTATATTTCTTATCTTATTTTTTACTTTTAGTATTATATATATTGTCTATAAAGTAACAAGGAACAAACTATAAAGCCCTTGTTAAGTAATTAATAAGGCTAATTACTTGCTCTTCTTGTTACTTCTTTTCTTTTCTTGAGTGCCTTGTTACCCCTCTGAGACCCACTTTGTATGATCGCCCTTATTTTTAGACATTATTTACTTATTTTAGGTATTTTTATGAAGTAAAATGATCTCACTATACTGACAGATCATTTTGCTGGTTTAAAGCTCATTTCTTAAAACAAGCAAAATGATCTGCCTACAGTGAGAATTTTACTTAATAAAATTACTTAAAACAAGTAAAACATTTCTATAAATATGGAAAATAATCTTAAATTAATTTTATAACAACCTCAACAGGAGAAATATTAGATTTATTGGCTATATATAAGATAATTGTACTTGACAAGACACTATTGCAGTGAAGCTCTTTTCACCTGCAGCTGAACTGCCAGCGCTCTCTCAAACGACAGCATCGAGTTAGGACCTTTATTTGTGTAGGAGAGACTCTTCCAGCTCTGACATGTAACACTGGGGTGATAATCAGGCTAAATAAATCAATAAATAGACCCGTCTCAGATCGTCTGGGTGGCGCAGGCTCTTTTCTGACAGCTGCGTCTTTCACAGCTACGACGCTGCAGATTTAACAGTAACAATAGTGAGTACCAATTTCACACTTCAGGCCATCTGCTCAGCTACTGTTCTCCTAACATATTCTCCAAATGGGACGTGTTTACATTTTGCAGGTTGCTGCCTGTGCCTTGTTTTGTGGGTACTGATATAGTCAGAGCACAAAGCAGCGAGATATGTTTTCCTTGTTTCTGCGGAGTTTCAATTTCACCGCTCGGTCTTGGGGTTTGTATTGCTTTCTACTATTGGTGCCTGTATATGTTGGCAGAATGGAGACGTCCTGTAGTCGCAGTCATAAGTGACGGTTGGGGTGTGTATTTCTCCACTGCTGGGACTGTATCACTGCTGTATGATGCTGTGGAATCTTCTGAGCCTGATGCATTGATGGTTCTGTTTCTAAAGCGATGCATCTGTCAGCTCACTGCTCTGCATTGTAGTGGTGTTTTACTCCTGAAACATCAATGTCAAAATATGAGAAACAGCTGTAATGGTTATCATTTGCTTGTGACAGCCATGTAACCAAGTGAAAACATCTTAAATGTAGTTAATATAGCTAATATTTCTCTTTATGAGACTGTTGTAAGCATATTGTAAGATTATTGAACTCATTTCTAGACATTTTTACTTGTTTTAAGTAATTTTATCTTATGAAAGTGTTTTATTCCATTGGCACATCATTTTATTTGTTTTATGTCTTGAAATAAGCAAAATTATCATTATTTCTTCAGACAATCTGCCAGTGGAATGAGACACTTTTGCTAAAAAAAGACACAAAACAAGTCAAAGTGTGTATAAACAGATGGAATTACCTTATAATATTCTTACAGTAGTCTCATAATTGAAACCTTTGCTGTATTAACTACATATAAGATGCTAAAATATCATTTTTTGCAGCGTATGTCTGAATATTTTTACACAAAATTGTGTGCGGGGTGATCTCTGCACTCTGTGTTTATGTATTTCTTGCTTCTTGGTATTCACAGCAATATCGTGTCCTGTGTCATTGTTCTGTTGTGTGACTTCACTTGTAATTTCATTCTATAGCGTTTCCTGTAGTTGCACACAGATATTGTATGATTTTGTATGATGAAACAATCTATATACTACTACTGCAGTTCGTTTTGTGCGTTAAACCCAGTACCTGCACTGCAAAAATGGTATCTTAGCAAGTGAAAACATCATAAATGTTGTCAATATATCTAATATTTCTCATTATGAGACTGTTGTAAGGACATTATAAGACTTTCACTTATTTCTACCTATTTTTTTAACTTGTTTTAAGTAATTTTATCTTATGGATGTGTTTATTCCATTGGCAGGTCATTTTACTTGTTATAAGTATAATTTGTTGAAATAAGAAAATTAAAAAAATAGGAAAATTATCTCAATAATTGTCAGAAAAAATGACTCAAAACAAGTTAAAATGTCCAGAAATAACAGGGATAATCTTATAATATTCTTACTACAGTCTCACAATGAGAAATATTACATATATTAACTACATGTAAGACGTTTTCACTTGCTAAGATATCTTTTTTGCAGTATTGAGTTCTCGTTTGTTCTCTCTTTCTGGGCCAAATTAAAAGTCCTCACTGTCCAGTCGGGGGCAGAACTGGTTGTTAAATAAATAAATACAGCAATATACTGAGGCTAATGAACTGAGTGCATTCATTAGGTTCTTTCAGCTTAGTTGCTAACGTATTGTCTCTGGTTACAACTGTACATTTGAAAATAGACCGAAGAGCAACGTTACGTTAATCAAGGCGTGTTTCCTGCAAATGAGCGAGTCTGTGACTGACAGTGACTGTAACATTTTCCAGTGAAGATAAATAAAAAATTCTACACTGCAAAAATTATTTATAGGTATGATTATCTTAACTTGTCTTAAATCTTGTCAATATATCTAATATTCCTCATTTTAAGATTGTTATAAGTTTATAATTAGATTATTTAACTTATTTCTAGATATTTTTTACTTGTTTTAAGTAATTTTATAAAGGTAAAACTGTCTCACTATTTTGGCAGATAATTTTGCTTGTTTTAAGAAATGAGCTTGAAACCAGTAAAATTATCTGGCAGATAATTTTACTCGATAAAATGACCTAAAACAAGTTAAAACATCTAGGAATAGGTTTTATAATCTTATAATATTCGTACAACCATCTCAAAACGAGAAATATTAGATATTGAGACTAGATTTAAGATGATTTCTCTTGTTAAGATATCATTTTTAGTATAAAAATAAATGATATGGGGAAATGAGTTTAAGCATTTCAAGGTAAGGTAAATTGTTATTAGACGTCTTTTTTATGCTACATTAAACAGACTTCTGTAATAATCTAGCACTGTAGGTGGCAGAGCCACAGGAATACCTCAGGCCTTTTGGTAAGGGACCACACTTTGGTCTCAGCTGAACTGTCTTAAGATGAACTGATGTCTAAAGTCATGTCTCGTCTTGACGACACACAATATAATTGCTAACTTGTCTTCAGACATTAGCTTCCATGTCTAAAGACAAAGACAGCATCTTCACTCACACATCTGAAGATTCCTTGAGACGTCTGGACATAAGAAAATGTCCCAAGACATCTCGTCAAGGCTGTTATCTTAAGGCACAGTGACAGC